CTTCTTTCAAAGGCGGCAGAGAAATCAAGAATGGTCTTTCTATTTAGAAATTAAAATGGCCTCTATCTGGCGTCATCATGAAGTTAGGTGCGCTCTACCAACATAACAATATGGACAGACTAGACAACTTAACAATAATGGAATAATGCCATCTATGTGGCGCACAAAAATTTAAAAAAATAAATATAAAATATAACAAATAATACATTCTACTATAAACTATAAACATTATCAATAACAAACAACTTACTATCATTCCATTGGAAATGCTGCATATTTTTCCATTTCTGTCCCAAGAGGAAATACAACATATTTTTTCTTAATTTCGGTTATTGGCCATGATTCCAAATCCGATATTCCACTAAGTATATATTCTCCATCATACAAATCATCTTTAATTTTAAACTCTTTTCCAATGACTACCAGTTCCTGTCTAATCGAACAAAAGGCAATATTAATAATATTAATAATTTTGTCATTAGCCAAAGCACAAAATGAATCTGATTTTTCATCAATATTAAATAAAAAATCAGAACAATATATAACTTTATACTGTGGATTTCCACAGCTGTTGATTAAGGGTCCTTCAAAATGCATCGATTTTTCAGATGCTCTTAACCTGGTTACTGCCTTTACATTTTTCTCTATAAAGTGCTCTTTTACCTCGAAATACCTCTTGTAAATTTGCTGCACTGGTTTATCTGACTTTCGTATAAATTTTTTCAACACCTGCATGTAGTTTTCAAATTTAAATGCACTGAATGAATCCAGATTACCAAAGCTTCTTGTATCATTTGCTAAATGCAATATGTTATGAATATTATGACTAACATTATGTTCTCCATATAATAACATAAAACCCTTAACAAAATAATGCAGTAGTTGCTCAGCATAATCCAGATAGTCATTCAACAAGCGGTCGCTGCACAAAATTTTAATAGCCACATGCAGTGTTAAAAAATTCATATAAAAGTCAAATGAAATGTGCGATTTCAAAACCAGTGGACCACTATATAATAAAAATTGTCTGAATTCTGTAGCCTTCCAGGATTTTACATATTTCAAAGATCGAGGTCTTCTAGCAAACTCCTTAGGTATGTAACTTCTCAACCTGCATAGAGAGTTTGAAATTTCATTAACTTTTACATATGGTAAGCGAATCGGAAGATCTCCTTCTGTCCACTGCAACAACATTCTTCTAACAGCACCTAAACAAATCAAATGCATATAATCAAGGGGTACGTTGCTAACTAAACCAACATGAGGTATTTCAAGCAATCTTGTATAGCCATTATGGTAGTCTTCATCTTGTAAGATTCTAAAATGTTCATCAGTTCTTGCAGGTGATTGCATTTCTTGAAAACAAATTCTACGATTAATATAAGAACCTTGAACAAGGCATTTTGAACAGCTATAATATCCTGTGTGTCCTTTTGTTTTCAGAATAAATGATTTTGCAGGAGTATCACAAACAAAATATTTAATTCGAGTCTCATAATGACTTCCGTTGTGTTCGAAACCCTCATTCACTATGCCAATCGCCTCATCAACAAAGTCACCTAAAAACTCATTCGAATCTCTAGGTTTCTCAATCCCGCAGTAGAGTCCTATGATAAAGATATATTTAGTAGGAATAATGGTGCACAATATAGGCCATGCAGACATATTCGAGGAACTTGATATAGGCAAACCATCAACATTAATTCCTAATTCAATGATAGAAGAATTTAACTTCAATCTATCAATAGAATCTTTCAAACCAGTTAACAATCCAAAATGAATATATTCTCCTGGGTTCATAACTTTCGATACTGCTATCCTTCTCGTCTTTAAAATTGTTCGGGAGTCTGCTGGTAAATCTTTAAAACAATCATGCTTTTTTAAACCCTTAAGCAGTGCCGATACAGCATTATGAGGAACCTGGTATGTAACAGCCCATTCTGCTAAAAATTGCTTTACATCAAAGACTTCTGGTATAACCTCTCCATTGAGGCTCTCCTCAGAATCAGAGCCTGAAATATATATTAATTTTTAAAACATCATTATTATTAAATAATTATATATAATTAAATTCATAATTACCTTGATTCTCATATTCATGAGAAGATGTCGCTCCAAAATCATTCTGATTACATGCTAAAACTAAATTACTTACATATTTTTCTATTATCTTCACTATTAAATAATTAGATAAAATTTAATTTATAATTACCTTGATCGTGATGATCATTAAATTGCATTTCAAAATCATCCTGAGCACGGACACTTGTTGAAATTTCAACATGATGAACAGCACTATCATTTACATTGGAAAGAGTCAATTCTTTCTTTTTTTCCGCGGTTATTCTTTCGAATTCCCACTTCACCCTCCTTCTAAAATGTCGGTCTGTCACAAAGCCAATAGATTTGCGAAACTTTCTAGTCGACATATTTATATGGAGTTTCTTTTAGAAAAATAAATCAACAAAATCACGTATAAATAAACCAAGCCAAGCGCGAATTTAAAATGGCGCTCATCTACCTGGCATCTTGCTCGATATACGTCTACGTATGCGCACTAGCTACTGCGCATGCGCACTATCTATCGCGCATGCGTCATAAGTCTGGACCAAAAATGAACCTATTTGGTTAAACCTGGTTGAACCAGAAAGGTCAAATTTCAGATAAACCCACTGACGGTCAAATAATGTGCCAGTTTTGATCGATGTTAACCTAGCGGGTTCAAAATCGGCTAAAGCGGTGCGACCGCGGTTCGACGCGTGCTATGTGGGGAATTGCAGTTTTAGTTCATTCAATGCTTATAACTATATGAATTATTTATTACAAATACGCACGGAAAGTATACAACCATTATTGCAATATACCGCCATTTTAACCCACAGCAATACCATTCCAGTCCCATAGCATACCCGTATTGAACCCGTCGGGTTGACCATGAGTCAAACCAGGGCTCTGACATAAGTGTCGCCATGGGTTAACCTATGTCCATATATGGTACCGGTGGGTTGACCATGGGTTAACCCTACAGCCCATTGTAACCCTATGTCAAGCATGTGCTGTATGGGTTAAGTATGTATTTCGCAAAAATATTCTAAAACTATTTTAGATACTGGTTAGTTTTTGGTGAAGATCGAATTCCTTCTATAAAATATTTTATGTTGATAGATATAATGGTTCTAAAGAATATACTAAAATTATAGGACCCTACGACAAGTCGTTTAATTTGATTAAACCTATAATCATCAAAGTTTGAAATAATATTAAAAAATTGTGTCAAAGATTTAATTGAAAGCAAAAACTTTATTTTCAAAATAAACAGTAGAAAATTTTATCTAAATATCAAAATTTTAATTTTGGTTGATTAATTTAATTATTACACATGTCGAGAAATTCATGCGCAAGTTGCCTAAAAGCAAAATGCAACTTCATTTATTATGAATATATTTTATGGCAGTGTTATATTTTGAATTGTAGTTGTTTTATTTCTATGTAACTTTATTAGCATATTTTAATCCTTTTCACTCATACCTTGCAAAACTAATACTGATTATGTCGCCTGATTAAATTATAATTAAACTAAATTATAATTATTTCTAGTGAACCTACAATCAATGCAAAACCGCTCCGATGTTGACAAATAACCAGCAAGAAAGAAGAAAGCAGTGAAATTCGAGCAAAAGTTAATTCCACAGTGTGTTAAGTGCGCTGTAGAACATTAAACCGAAAAATGTTTATGGAAAGACAAAATTAACAAGAACGTCAAGTGTGTACTCCGCGGTCAAAATCACCCCACAAACTACAGGGGATGCCAAGTCTACAACGAAGAGCTCATTTGGAAATTCCCTCCGTTACGACAGAGACTGCAACCAACTAACAATCCTAATATTAACAGAAATTCTGCAGTAATTCAAGGCTTATCTTACTCGCGAATTACTAGCCGAAACACAAACACAAATACAACACAAAAAATACCAAGCAGCACGAATCAAGTAATCGAGAGTAATACATATCTCTGAACATTAAACTATGCTCGAAACATTATTCGAACAGATGGGCACTATGCTTAATTTTTCAACTACAATTTTAATATGAACTTCCCGATATGTTTAAATGATCGACTTAATCGATAAAAAATAATTTGAGTGTTTAAAAGTATTCCGAGTGCATTGATTCCACATAACTGAAAACGAATGAACACGTTAACTTGGAGTATTTTCTAAAAGCAAATTTTCAAATATCAATAATTTTTATAATTGAATCAGTTTCTGTAGGACTTTAATGGTTTAGTATGTTCATTAACCTTAAAAAAAAAAACGCCCGAAAAAAAGTTTTCTTTTGGATGCTACAGTGGTGTGACCCCTTAACTGCTATTGAATCGACAACTGAGGAAAGTTATTTAGCCTTAGGAACAAGCTGAGGCAGTTGCTTCTGGTGATGTATCAGCTGATTTGGCTAACATGAAACCAGGGCCAATTGCACATTATTCATCAATAATTATTATTCATCAATAATAAAAAATATATTCTGATAAAGTAACTCAATTCATACCATTCTTAATTATTAGGTACATTTCATTGTGGAGCACAACTGAGATAACATGCAACATATTATAATCAAAATCAGGTACATGTTCTCAACTTAAAAACTATGAGTTAAACCCAAAATAGACAAATGCTAACAAGACTTTTCCTTCTATGCTCTTAGCATACAAACAGAAAAAGATAGATAAATTGTATTTTTTGCAATAAATATAATAAAATATGAATATCTGAAAAATTAATTAAAATTGAAAGTTAAAAATTTTGATTTGATTTGCAGAATTTACTGTGTTTTACAAAGAAGAAAATATTATAATGTACTCTTTTTTTCCCAGGGTGTAATTATCAAAAGTATTATTCACTATTATTTATAAAAATATTTTATATTTTAAATATAATTTTGGTCATTTTATTACATACAGCATAGAAGTACTTTTGTATGTAACATGTACATTTTGTTCCTTATAATACTGATAACAAACCAAACTTTTGATTTGCTAAAAAAAAGTAGACTTGACGATGACGTTTGGCAGGTGGAAAATCAGAAACAGTAATTTCCTGTTTTTCATTTTCCTGATTTAATAAATCATTATAACGCTTAATAACATCGGGATCCTGTAACCATTTATGATTAAGAACTTCGAAACTGCTATAGCTAGTTTTTGGATCTACTTGTAACATTTTAGAAATTAAATTTTTGCATTCAGCACTAACCGAAGACCAAACACATTGTTTGAAAAAGTATTTTCCTTTGCAAATTTGATCAGCTGCTGAGAAGGGTAAGCATCCACAAAGACAAACAAATAATATTACACCTAGACTCCAAACATCAACTTTTTCAGTATAAGTTTTATAACTCTTTAATATCACATCGGAAGCAACATACCATGCAGTACCACATTCAGTTTTTAACACTGTGTTACCTTCAACAATTTTACTTAAGCCAAAATCTGATAGTTTGACTATTGAATCATCACTATTGCTTTGTAACGGAATATTCTCAGGTTTTAAATCTCTATGTGTAATGTTCTGCCGATGTAAGTAGTTAACAGCAACAGCTAGTTGGTATATAATATTCTTAACTATTGGTTCTTTCAGATATTTTGACTCTTTAATTTTATTATATAAATCACCTCCATTCATAAGTTCCAATACCAAAAATACTGCTTCAGGAGTTTCAACAATGTTGTAGACACTAACTATGAATGGATGATCTAATTTTTTCATAATATTAATTTCATTCATAATACGATTAGGATGGTTTAATTTCTTTTCATCATCTGCTTTACTCTTGATGATCTGCTTCATAGCAAATTTATCACATGTCCTTTTGTTAAATATTAATCTCACAACACCACATGCACCGCTTCCAAGCTCACGAAAATGTAGTAGTCATCTTTGATGAGATTTGGTATTTATCCAGAGTATGTATGAAACGATCAAAAAATCTAAACTATTTTCTGAAATCACTACCTATTGCTATAACATCTTCATTTTGCAATATTCTTCGGTTTCCTTTGCCAACTTTTTTACCATTTATGAATGTTCCATTTCGAGAAAAATCTTCTAAATAAACAGGAGAATTCCTACTGTCTCGTTTAAGTTTAAAATGTGTCCTAGATATAAATTGTAGGTATTAAACAGACATTTCGTCTGTAGTCGAATTTATGTCACAATTTTCTCTGCCAACTGCATACTCCAATTTGGAAAGATCTACGATAAAATATTATTGATATTTGAGAAAACCAACAAGCATGAAAACAGTTGTAAATCATCTTCCATTCTTCCAAACATTCTGGCTGGGGCTCACGAAGGCTAGTAGGTATTGAAGTGACTAAAATCTTTAGTTTCCTGTCCACGCTCAGGGAACTAAAAAGCATGTTCGATCACTCTATACAAAAGCAATAACGCTTCGTGAACGCATTGCTAAATTTGAATACTGTTCTTTGACACTTGATAAAAGTTGTGACATTAGCGACATAGCACAACTCGCTATATCTATACGTGGTATTGATACTGAATTCAATATTACTGAAGAGTTTTGTTATCTGGTTCCTATGCAAGGGAGTACAATCTCTTAATACCTTTATGATAAATTATGAAAAAAATTCAATAAAAAGTATATCAACAGATAATTCAATAAATTAGTATATCAACAGATGGGCACCAGCAATATCAATGTAGAAGTAGCGGAAAGACTTTACCCAAACATTAACACAGGAAAAAAAATATTTGTTAACCACTGGATAATTCATCAAGAAAGTTTGTGTGAAAGAAAATTTACTCCATGGTACAGCACCAGTAATTAAATTACTAAATTTTATGAAGTCACAGGGGTTCAAATCACTGTGAGTTCAAAGAATTCCTAAGCAATTTGTAAATCATAGCAATGTTATCTTCAATACTAAAGTACACTGGCTCAGTAGAGGTGCAGTGTTGAAAAGAGTTTATGACCTTTAAAGCGAAATACAATTGTTCGCGGAGAAAAAGGTAAGAAAAGCATACACCCGCGTCTTTTCAGCAATAAAATCAATCCAGGAAATTAAAACCAACATCAAGCACTAGAGCTTGTGAAGATGGTGGTACAAATTCTCTTCTCAGGATGGGTCCATCTAATAGAAACTGTTTGATGAAATTGGCATTTCAAAATTTATTGAGTATGACAATGGTAAGTACAGCATGAATGGCTTTGAGAAAGTCTGCGAGAGAAGTTTGTTGATCTTGCTTTGGTATTTAGCATTAAAAGAATTCGAGGCTATTTCAAACAATCAGTGGCATACTTCTTCGCTGAAAGCAATGTTAAAAGTTCTGAACTCAAGGCCTGCAATTCCAAACCGGCAAACAATTAGTATCAATATTGTAGCTACCGTATGTGATGTACACGCAACAGATATATCTGCAATAAACGTGTTGTCTAATTTACAAACTTCAGGGTTCTCTTGTTGGCGAGCAAGAAACTGAACCTCTATGATTCTCCACATTAACTGAATTTTTTATCATATGTTGTAACTTTTCCGCATGCGCTGTAATTTGCGAGCACATAAGGTATATACTGAAAAGATGAGGAAGATGAAAGTGAGGGACTGCCGTAGAGTTCTCTTGGACATATACGCTACTAAGCAAAATAAGAAAGTAAAAACTAGTGGGGTGGGTGGCATCGTGCCTTAAGGCAAATTGCTGAAACTTCCCGTACCGTAACGAAATGTTCGAGGATTACTGAATGTTTTCAAATAGATTATTATAAATATTGAAACATTGTCTAATATTTATAAATATTATATAAACTGAATTGCAGAGTTGAAATTATTTGTAAAGTATATTAGAACTATAGTCAGAATTAAAAATAAATATTTCGACAAAAAACTAAAAAAAAAAAAAAAAAAAAAAAAAAAAAAACAAAATCGATTATTTTGTTAAGACAAGCAGAAAGTTCTTTGAATCATTTAAATCGGACGCTTAGTTCTCTCAAAAACTGCCATTTTTTACATATTTAGCTCCGTATCTTCAAAATGGCTGGGCCTGCCTTTGCCAAAAACTAATAAACACTTCTCCCAATCATTACTAATTGAATGTTTTTTAGATCATTCAAATCGGATACTCCGTTCTCTCAAAAATACGATTTCTATTTTCTGCACTCTTGGCTCCGTATCTCCGAAACGGCTGGACCTGCCTTTGCCAAAAACTAATCAGCTCTTTTCCCTATCAATAGGAATCGAATGTTTTTTGAACCATTCAAATCGGTTGATCCGTGCGCCCTAAAACGTGACTGGAAATTTGTATCCACACATACATACACACACACACACACACACACACACACACACACATCCATTTTTTCTGAGGTATGCCAAAACGTTCAGAAACCTTCAAAACGTCGAGAAATGTAAAAAATTTCAATTCCGATTTTCGGCCCATTACAATAACTTACCCTACGGGAAGTTAATAATAAAAGTGTATTCTATTGAATTCATAATTAAAATTCATCATTCATAATAAGCTTCCAGTTTTGCAAAAAAACTGTAAAGCTCTATGAAGAGCTCTCTATTTCTCTCTAGCCGATTCTAACCATTAAGCATTTTATAAACAGGCTAGACGTGTCTTAGCTTCTTTAAAAAAGACGAGAAGATAAAAAACTCTCTCAAACTATTCAAAATTGGATTAAAACATTAAAAAGTTTTTAAAATATTTGGCAGTAATATAGAGTATCCGGAAATTAAGTTTTACTCGACTCGTTATTTAAACCAAGACCCTCTAGAATTTGTTTTTGTAGTATTAGACGGAAATATTAATCGAAATGCTTCCTGCATTGTTCTCAATAAATTTCATTCTGTTCATTTTTACTCTGGCAATTGTGAGCATGATAAAACAGAAGGTGCGATTGATTCGTTAAAAACATTATTATTGTGTTATGCTTCGGTCAAAGTCGAGTGTGAGTCTAGTTAGATTAAAGATATTCTAATTTCGTCTAATGTGAATACTTATGGATTTTTATTAAAAGAAGAAAGTAGCAGTTTACTGCATGTTACCAGATACATTACTGGTTTTTTTACCAACAAAATGTTGAAAAATGTTGAATCTTGCTCGATGTGTAAGCCCCATATTTAGGCAACAGACAAGAGTGGGGATGATTATTGGCTAATAAGTGTTGAAGAATCTCTAGTTTTTCTACTAGAAGTAAACATTATTTAAATAATCATTATATTTTCAGAATATTTTTTGCTCGATTCATATTTTAAAAATAATAATGTTAAACCACTTGTTCCATTTTTTTTTAAACTATTGAGTTAAAGAAATCAATTTAGCACTACGCGGTAAAGTAACTCGCTCAAATCCTGTGAATGTTTTGAAAACAAATTTATTGCGTTTTGATAAAATGAGAAAAAGACAAATTAAAGTTTGTAACACCAAGCGTGAATTACGCATTTTTTTAGTTTAGTAGGCATGATGAACATCAATCCCATCAAATAATTATGTTAACATATGCCTGATATTTTATATACATATAAAAAATACAAGACAAACCCAAAACATCTAAATTTAAATTTAATTTTTGTGTAGTGAATTTCGGTGGTAAAGGATTGAAAACGCGTGACCTCTATCTGTTCTAAAGAAATGGAGAACAAAGAAGAACAAACTTCTACTCTGGGAGAAATGAGAATGAGTGAATTATTGCTCGACAGTAACCCAGGTACTGAGAACAAAGAAGGAGAAGTGCCCGCTTCGAATCGAATTAGAATCGAATTTCCAGAAGAAACTTCTACTCGGCCACAAAGGAGAATGTCAAAACTATATCTCCGTTGTAGCCCAGAAGAGGCACTTCAAATATTTAAACGAATGGGCAAACCCATTCGAGCGGACAACATTGCATCGGACTCGAGAAAAGCAAGTGGAAATGCGTGAACCAATGAACGAAAGCCCAGAATTAATTCCTATGCCAGACATAGTTAATTTAGACAACGACACAGACAGATCGGAAATTGAGTCGGTTGATGGCAATATATTACAGGCTGAGAGGAGTTTAAATCCCAGAACAAAGTTGTGTATGGCTACTGCAGTATCGTCTGCAAGCTCAACTAGCACAGTTACTTACACTCATGCAATGAATAGTATTAAAAAAACGCCATTGTCGTCTAAGAGATGGGTTATTTGCAAATCGAAAAACCAATTAAACCCGTACAGTAAGTGAATGATCCTACAGATCATTTAAATAGGAAAACTTTAAAACTTATTGACGATTTGGTAAAAAAATAAGATTTCCAAATTACTAGGTTTTCCTGTGAAACTTTTCCATCAAAATTTTCCCAAACTTTATTGTCTCCCAAAAGTTCATAAACCCGATTTACCTCTTAGACCTATCGTTTCAGGCTTAAATTCACATCTAAGCAAACTTTTAAAATATATCAGCAACATACTTTCTAAGGTCGTCATTTTGTCTAAATTTCATGTTTCTAACTCTTTTAATTTAATTAATAATTTAAAAAAATTGATTATTCCGTCTGATTATTTGATGACGTTTTGATTTCGTTTTGCGACATCAGTTCCGTGAAACTTAGCTCTTGATGATGTTTGTGATCGTTGGAGTGAAATCCAGCCTCATACTTCTATTGATTTGAATTGGTTTAAACACATTCAAAATTTTATTTTGCAATACTTATTTTTGTTTCGAAGATTGTTTCTTTTCTCAGAATTTTGGTTTACAAATGGGGTTCAGTATCAGTCCTCCATTGGCTGATAAAACTTTACAACTTTTAGAAAAATCTGTTTAATCCAAATTACCTGTTCAACCCGTTTTTTATTACAGATATGTTGACGATATTCTCTTATGTTTAAAAAAGATTAGATTTTTG